AGTTTCAACTAAGAGCCCAATTTCCCTAATCATCTAGTTCATGTTGCAATTAATTGTAAAGTTAATCCAATTTAAGTCCTTGTTCTTCAAATTGGTCTTTTGTGGCCTCCTAAATTTAAAATTAAATATATCTTTCTCCATTGTAAGGAAAAGTTCTAATCAGGTCCCATTTTTAGATCTTGAATATCTATGCTTATTTAAAAACAAAGAAATTTAGCTCTCAAATACTACACTATATAAGTACCCTAGCAAGTTATAGTACTTGGTATTAACAGAAATCTTAAGGAGGAGGAGGTGCTTTCATTCAATATGTTTTGTTTAACTGTTACTTCTATTTTGTTGATGGGCAAACTGAGATATGGAAAGGAATTCACTTAGAAAAGTAGACAAAATTAGTCAAACATATACAAGGTTTGACTGGGGATGGGCCACTTATTTCCATGTGTTTTCAGGCAAGGTACCTAACCTCTCTGAACCAATTTCCTTATCTGCACAATGGGACTGACAATATCTAACTTGTGGAGTTGTGAGAATTAAATAATATAACACTTGAAAGTGCTTACGGGGGCGCCTGGGTGGCTCAGTCGGTTAAGCGGCCGACTTCGGCTCAGGTCATGATCTCCCAGTCCGTGAGTTCGAGCCCCGTGTCGGGCTCTGTGCTGACAGCTCAGAGCCTGGAGCCTGATTCAGATTCTGTGTCTCCCTCTCTCTGACCCTCCCCCGTTTATGCTCTGTCTCTCTCTCTCTCTGTCTCAAAAATAAATAAACGTTAAAAAAAATTAATATAAAAAAAAGAAAGTGCTTACGATAGTGCCTGATTAATCTGTGTAGGTTTCAGTAAAAGATATTATTGAAGGGAAGTAACTGGTCCAGGTATCCCTGACATTCTTATCTAAAAGCAGCCATCTCCAATAAATCCTGATACTAAAATATAGGATATAACTTATTTATCTGCAACTTTCTAAATGGCTTACTATATTGGGGTTGGGGGAGGGGGAGGAGAAGCGTTCCTTTAAAGGTTCCCTAACTGGTGACATTCACTGTATTGATGTCAATACAGCCACAAGACTTGAAATAAAGTACTAAATTTGTAAAAATTTCCTTCTTGAGTTTGACGTTAAAGCAAAGATTCTAGAAGCGTGTTTTCAAGGATATTATTAGCCAAGATCTCCTATTTGCTAGGCACAGCAGGGTACTATATCAAAATTATGATCGAATCAATCATTGCTTCATGTGATCCTAAGCCTTCTTTGGACCTCAGCCTCTTTACCTATAAAACAGGAGTTTTACAAAGATTATCTTTCTGGGCCATCCTGTCCCCCTATCTCTAACATTCTTTTATTTGAGATGCAGAGATCTGTGCTCAATCAGGGTTCGGTGGAATGGTATTTAAAGCACTTATCAAGTATATAACTGAGTTCAAACGGCTTCAACTTCACATCAGAGCTTTGTAAGAATGAAGCAGAAAACGAAGATGCTTGCATGTGGGCTTTCCTAGATACAAGTATCTGACACAAGAAAAGCCTGCCAAAAGCCAAGCAGGCAGCGCGAAGGAAGGGTCGTCTTCCCCTGAATACATCCTTTACCACTCTGGATTCAGAGAATATGAGGAAAAAAATGGATCACTGCATCTTTTCCAAACTCTCCCTTTCCTTTGGAGGCTGATCTCCCTGCAGCCATGGCCCCTTATACTCTCCGCTTTGGAGAGCTCGGGTTCTCACAGCCCTGTTCCTTCAGGTACTTCGGAGTCTCCAAGCCCTGATCCCGTCCCCACAGAAGCCCGTCTTCACTGCCCGCTGCCGTTCATTCCAAACCCAAGTGGTCTCTGAGCGCTCCTGCCCCTCAGGAACCTAAGTCTTCGCTAATCTGTTTCTGAATCCTTAGGAGCCTGGGTCTTGACTGTCCCGCTTCTGTCTCTTAGGAGCCCAAGTCCTCATAGCTCCGCTTTTACCTTTCAGGAGCCCGTGTCTTCACGCCCCTTTCCATTCAGACCCTCTCCTCTTAAGAGTACGGGTCCTCATAATCCTGTTCCCCTCACATCGCTTTCCCTCAGGTGCCGGAGAACTCACATTCGTCCCGGTTCCTTAAGTCCCGTCTATAGCCCCGGTCCCCACAGCCGCGTCTTCTCCGAGCCCGGAGCCCCTTAGTCCCGTCCCAACAGCCTGATTCCTCGCACAACCCGGTATCCTCCACAACATAGTTCTTCAAACACTGACCCACTGTGGGTCTGGGTCCTGACTCCCTCCTCCCGCTCTTCTTCCTCAACTGCCAGGGCCCAAGACTCACAGGCAGCAGCGTCTATCTCCCCATGATATGCGGAGACTGCCCCAGTGAAGCGTTCGTCTCAGCAGCCGGTCCGACTGCTCGGCCCTCCCCGAGTACTTCCGGCACCGCTCCCCGCCTCCAACCCGGAAACGCGCGGCTCTTCCGGCCGGCGGGCGCGCGCCTCGCTTACGCATGCGCAGACTGCTCTCTGACACGTGGTCGCGGTCCTAGGCTGTTTCTCCGCTCCGGCGGTTGGGGTTTTTCTTGCTTGTGGTTGGGTGGCAGCGTGGGCGAACTCGTTGCCTTCTACCCCGGCGTTGCGATCCCTGCCCTTGCTGTTTCTTTCAGTCTCCGCGTATCGTATACGCTAGCACAGCCGATAATTGACGCCCTTGGATGTCTTACAGGTCGCCATTTTTAGTTGATTTAGTTGCCTTTATGGTCGTATCTAGACAGAGATACCACTTGGGACCGAAGCACCCCGTGGATAATCCCGTTGAACTCTAACAAGGGAATTGGCAGCAAAAAAGCGTGGAGACGAGAGACGGGTTGTACCTATGGATTGGCAAATAGTATTAATTGAGCACTTACTGTCATCAAGGAACTTTGCTAAGCCTCTTAACTCCGATACATCATTTAATCTTTTAAAAAATTATTTATTTTGAAATGGGGGAGGGGCAGAGAGGGAGAGAGAGAATCCCACGCAGACTCCACATGAAGCCTGACGCTGGGCTTGATCCCACCACCCCCAAATCAGGACTTGAACCAATATCAAGACTCAGATGCTCAAGCGACTGAGCCACCCAGGTGCCCCTATATCACGTAATCATTGAAAGAAAACCCCTGAGAGGGGCGCCCTAGTGGCCTAGTGAGTTAAGTGTGGGACTCTTGATCTCTGGTTTTGATCTCGGTTTGGTGAGTTACAGACCCCACGTGGGGCTCCTCGCTACTGATAACATGGAGCCTACTTGGGATTGTCTCTCCCTCTCTCCGCCCCTTTCTTGTTCTCTCTCCCTCTCTCTCTCAAAATAAAATTGAAAAAAAAAAAAAAAAAACAACAAAAAACAACTTTAAAATCCCTGAGAGATTAAGTAAGGTTCTAATAAGTGCAGTCTCAACTTGAACTCTCACTTAAAGCCTAATCCTGTGTGTAACCATTAAACTCTTGGTTTTAGTTTTTACATCACTTTGGGATAACATTTTTTACCTTATGCCAGGTGCTAGGCATGTAAGACCCAGTCCCAACCAATGTGATGTTCACACTAAAATGAAGAACCTGCAGACACAAACGAATATACAAAGGGCCATGACAGCCCAAAGTGAGCCATAGTAACTGCCTGCAGAAATCAGGAAGAGGTTTCCCCCCACCTATATTTTAAGTTTATTTTTTATTAATCTCTACATCCAGCACGGGGCTCAAACTCAACCCCTAGATCGAGAGTCACAGGCTCTTTGAGCCAGCCAGGTGCCCTCCTTATCTTTACATCTTCTCATCCTTGGCCCACCAAACTCCCAATCACCTGCATTGCCACCAGATGCAAATTCTTAGATTCAAGGCCCCTTCACCATTAGGCTTCAAATGGCCTTCCTTAGCCTAATTTCCCTGCTACAGCTCTCTTCATTCTCCTAAGGATCTGGCACACTTTTTTCCCTCCCACTCCATCTTTTTAAGACCAGTTTAAATGTACATTCACTCATTCAGCAAACAGTGCTCGTTGTGTGCCAAGCTTTTTGCTGGGTCCTGGGTATATATGCTAGTAGATATGACAGATAATAAATATCCTTGTTCTGAGAGTTTACAATCTGGAGTGGGAAATAGACCATCAGAAAGTACACAAAAGTGTAAGAGAGGATACCAGATTTAACTAGCTGGGTAATCTAAAGCCCTGAGCTAAGGAAGCTTATTCAAGGACCAAGATGACCAAGGTGGCTGGAATTTAATAAGTGATAGAGTGGCGGGTAGAGTTGGGAGAGGCAAGCAGGGCTCAGCTCAGGCAGGACTTTGCAGGCTACGGTGAGGACATGAGGTTGTATTTATTGTGCAATGGGAAGCCATTAGAGTGTTGAAAGGGGGAGTGAAATAGTGATTTAATTTTTTAAATGTTTGTTTATTTTGGGGGCGCCTGGGTGGCTCAGTCGCTTGAGCATCCAACTTCGGCTCAGGTCATGATGTCACGGTCCATGGGTTCGAGCCCGGCATCGGGCTCTGTGCTGACAGCTCAGAGCCTGGAGCCTGCTTTGGATTCTGTGTCTCCCTCTCTCTCTGTACGTCCTCCGCTCACACTTTGTCACTCTCTCTGTCTCTCAAAAATAAATAAACATTAAAAAATTTAAAAATTAAAAAATGAATGTTTATTTTTGAGAGGTGGGGGTTAGGGGCAGAGAGAGGGATACAGAAAATCCAAAGCGGGCCCTCGCTGTCAGTGCAAAGCCAGGTTTAGGGCTCGAACCCACAAACTGTGAGATAATGACCTGAGCTGAAGTCGGACGCTCAACTGACTGAGCCACCCAGGTGCCCCAAGTAATGATTTGTTTTTAAGAGAGGACTAGCAGATTGATTATAGGAGAAGCCCCCAACAAACACAACTGACAGTGCCCGTATCTAGGCTTCGACCAGTTTACACTACAGGTCTGCTTCCTATTATTGTGTAGGAACTTTTTATGTGACTTCCTTCTCTTGCAGCTTCTAAATTGTAGAGGTCAGGTACCTCTATATATTATTAAAATATATTAAGGTGCTCACTTCAGCAGCACATATACTAAAATTGGAACGACACGGAGAAGATTAGCATGTCCTCTGCACAAGGATGATACGCAAATTTGTGAAGCATTGCATATTCTTCACTGAATTTGATCACTGAATTCTGCTTCTGAAACCAATATTGCACTGCATATTAACTTACTAAAATTTAAATTAAAAATAAAATATTTTAAGGAGAGTAAAATGCCTGACAGTCTACATTTTTGTTTTAAAATGTAGGGGAGCCTGGGTGGCTCAGTCCGTTAAGTATTGGACTCTTGATTCGGCTCAGGTCATGACCCCAGGGTCGTGAGATTGAGCCCCGACTGGAGATTCTGATTCTCTTTCTGTCTGTCTGTCTGTCTGTCTCTCTCTCTCTC